TTTGGTTGCGTGGCTTATGTTCATATCAGTGACCACGTCAGAGACAAGCTAGAGGCTAAGTCACAGAAGTGCACATTCATTGGATACGACATTGATGAGTTCGGGTATCGTCTTTGGGATGAGAAGAACAGGAAGATCATCAGAAGCAGGGACGTGATATTCAATGAGGATGTGATGTACAAGAATAGGAAAAATACCAAGGATAACCAAAGCAGTGGGAGCAGCACTACGGATACAGGTGGATCCAAGTACATGGATTTAGAGGAACTTCCAGATAGGGGTGACGATGTTTGTTCTGACCATAGAAAGGAGGAGGCTCCAGGTGCAGAAGCAACTACCCAGGGCGTGGAGCTTAGGAGGTCATCCAGGGTATCCAAACCAAATCTCATATATCTTTCATCTCTTAACTACCTATTGTTGAAAGATAGCGGTGAGCCGAAGTGCTATGAAGAGGCAATACAAGTGAGTGAATCTCAGCAGTGGGAGCATGCTATGTAGGAGGAGATGGATTCTCTACTCACTAATGAGACATGAGAGTTAGCCCAGCTACCTGCATAGAAGAAGGCCTTACATAACAAATGGGTCTACTGGGTCAAGCAGGAGAGTGATGGAAGCAAGAGATTCAAGGTCAGATTAGTAGTGAAGGGATTTTAACAGCAGGAAGGAGTGGACTACACGAAGATATTTTTCCCTGTTGTGAAGCTCACAACCATCAGAGTGGTGTTGAGTTTGGTAGCTGCAGAAGACCTCTTTCTTGAGCAGTTAGATGTGAAGACTGCCTTTCTTCATGGTGACTTGGATGAAGAAATCTATATGAAGCAGCCTGTTGGCTTTATTGAAGAAGGAAAAGATGATGTGCAACCTCAAGAAGAGCTTATATGGTTTAAAACATGCTCCAAGACAGTGGTACAAGAAGTTTGACAACTTCATGCAAAACAATGGCTACAGAAGATGCAATTCGGATCATTGTTGTTACTTCAAGAAGTTCGAGCCCAGCTTTATTATCTTGTTATTATATGTTGATGACATGTTGGTAGCAGGACCGTGTTTAGAAGATATAAACAGTTTGAAGAAGCAGCTAGCAAAGGAATTTGCAATGAAGGATCTGGGTACAGCGAAGCAGATTCTAGGGATGCAAATCAGTAGGGATGAAGCTGAAGAGACGTTGAGATTGAGCCAAGCTGAATACATTGAGAAGATACTTCAGAGGTTCAACATGCAGAATGCTAAAGTTGTTAGCACACCCCTTGGAAGTCAGTTCAAGCTATCTGAGGAGCAATCGCTAAGACAGATGTAGATAGAGAGTATATGAGCAGAGTGTCATATTCTTCTGGCATTGGGAGTCTCATGTACGCGATGATTTGCACGAGGCCGGACATCGCCCATATAGTGGGAGTTGTGAGCAGGTTTGCAAGCAATCCAGGGAAGCAGCATTGAGAGGCCGTGAAGTGGATATTATGGTACTTGAGGGGAACAATGAATAAACCACTATGTTTCAGGAGGAAGGAGTTGGTGCTGCAGGGATACGTGGATACGGACTTCGCCGGTGATCATGATACGAGGCGAAGTACCATGGGGTATATTTATACCTTAGCATTGACAGCAGTGAGCTGGGTCTCACGTCTGCAGAAGATTATGACTTTATCTATAATCGAGGCTAAGTATGTGACGGTGACTAAAGCAAGCAAGGAGATGATCTGGTTGAACGGGTGCTTGGAAGAATTGGATTTGAAGCAAGGAAGAGGAGTTCTTTATTGTGATAGCCAGAGTGCTATACATCTTGCCAAGAATCCAGTATATCATACCAGAACGAAGCACATCGACGTAAAATACTATTTTATACGCTCGCTAGTTGAAAACGGAAAGTTGTATTTAATAAAGATTTTGGGGAGTCAAAATCCGGTAGACATGTTAACGAAAGCAGTCACCATTGAGAAACTGGAGTTGTATGCAACTTTAGTTGGCCTTCACGAGTAGAAGATGAAGGCGGAGCCACACTACGAGGATCGGCATGGTCACCGGGTTATGGTTGATTGAAGAAATGATTTCTTCGGGGGGAGAAGATACATGCGAATAAGGGGAGAGTTCGGGTGAGCTCATTGATGGCATTTTGGTCTCCAAGCGGGAGATTGTTAGTCTAAAGTATAGATCCAAAGTTTAAAGCCAAGATGGAATCAAAACGATGAAGAAAAACTACCAGACAGATCCACGGTCAACCGCGAGTCTGCGGCGGTCGACCGCGAACGTGCGTAGGAGCTCAGGAGGAGCTGGATCCGAAGACGGTCGACCGCGCCAACCCTGTAGGATTTTTGGTCTCGGGTTTTTGATACGGTCGACCGCGATTGGTGTGCGGTCCGGTCAACAGCAATTGGTGTGCGGTCGACCGCAATACCTACGTGGTCGACCGTCATGATCGATCGCGACGCAGTTTGATAGTTTCCTAATCTGTTTTTGGTTCTATATCTTTTGGGATTCTATATATATACCTAAACGTTTTAGGGTTTAGAAGAACACGAAAAAGAGAGCTTTTGACGGCAGAAAAAGAGAGAGAATCTTAGAGAGGTAAAACCCTGGTTTGAGAGCTTGTATTTCTTCTTCAATTAATAAAAAAATTGTGTGGTGTGGCTCCCGAGGACGTAGGCACGTTGCCGAACCTCTTTAAATCTGTGTGTTCGTCTTATTTATTGTTTCTATAAGTTTTGATCTTTATTTGTGGTGAATTTTCCTACTTTCCTACTCTCAACACATGGTCCGGAAGGGCAAGGGCTCGATTTGATTGTTTCGAATCCCCAACAGCAAACTACGGCTCCCCACCCCCCGTGTGCTAGCACACACTTTCGGTTTCTTCGTAGGGTCTCGAAGACTGAGTAACGCTGCCAACCTATAGCAGCAAGCAGGGTAGAAGAATTGGTCGACTCATCAGGCTCATGACTTGAAGACTGCAGGTTGGAATCCTGTCCCCGCCTAATAAAACAAGTTCACTAAAAGCATGGGTACTGAGGTTAACTTACTGTTGTACCACATTTCATCATGATAAAAATGCTGGATATACAATCAGACAACAAACTGATCTTACTGTTAACTGCTAAGGATCCTGAGTAATTCCAGCCATCCATTGCCAAATGCCCCCTGAATCTTGCATCTGAGGAGCACTCCTATCTTTTACTATTTTCAATTTTTGACATTTTAGGTTTTCCAACTCCTGCTCTACAGAAGTGAATGACTCCAACATTTTCCGGATTTCTGCAATTTTGTGCCTGCAATGAACTGACTTGTAAATATAGCCGTATTTTACAAAACACATCTTCCACCAAACGATCAGTTTCAATACGGAAAACCTCTAACTTGGAGCATCTTGTGCTCTCAGCTGCCACGTGACCTTGTACCGATCGAAGTTCCTACGATAGACATAAGAGAAAAAATAAAAGCCCTAGAAGTAAATCATTAAACAAATATACTAGATGTCCTATTAATATAATCTTTCCACTGTTAGCACTGACGAACTTCACATATGCACCTGAATTGACAAAATCACCGTTCTTATTAATAATCTTCGCCAAAGCATAAGCAGCAGTGACAGAAGCCTGGCATGGGTTATTTTTGAGTCTCTCGTCTTGGGCTTCAAGACAAATAGCTGTAAAGAAACATGAAGAATTATTCATCAGAGGAAAACTCAGGATCGATATGCGTATGCAAATAAAAGAACGTGAATTTAATTGTGCAATAAGGCTACAATTTGCAAATCCTTTTGAGTAGTTACATGCTATATTTTGTGACTGAGGGATAATTATTTACTTACATCATTATCGTACTTTCCCGTTATAACCACTAAAGGCAATAAGAAATTGCTCTCTATCCACTGTTGCTGAACAAACAATAAGACCATGAGATGCAAGCGCTTGAAAATGAATCATACCCTTCGTATTTATGTCCATGCACCAAATCATTGTTTAATTAATTCAAAACAATCATAATGTAGCGTAAATCGAGAATTGTTTTATGAAGATTGTAACAAAAATTTATATTATAAGAGAGAATATTTTCCACTAAAATAGTGGGATTGAAATAAATTTAGTCAAATAACAACTGAAGTATATGAATTTTTCTGCAAAATTGTTGGGATTCAAAAGGCGGAATCTATCCCCTCAATTACGAATGTTGAGGAGAGGAACAAAAGAACGACTAACGAGCACAGAAAGAAGGGATTTTTTTTTATAAATACCAGTAATAGGAACCCTAATGCCTCGTTTGGTACGCGGGAATGAGGAGGAATGGAATGCAATTCCCACTTCCCATTCCCTCATACCAAACACATCTATATTTTAGATGTTGGAATGACCATTCCCTAGGAATGATCATTCCCACTATTTGTGGGAATGAGCATTCCAAGTGAGAAGATAAGGAATGGTCATTCCCATTCAAGTGAGAATCAAAAACTAGTTAGGTATTTTTTAATTATATCCATATTAATAATAAAGAATGTTTGGGTGAGGCGCTATGCAAGTGGGCAATTTTAGATTGACAATTTAGGCTAGTATATCATTTTGCTATTTCGAAACTTATTATTTTAGTTAGTATTGTTTTATGGATTTTTGCTATTATGAATTGAGTGATTTTGATACTTTATCAAATAAGTTAATTTATATATCTAGAACTGTGGATTGTGGATATCATTCTTTTTTTTTTTTTGACCTATGAAAGATACGATAATCTTTTTTTTATTTTTCTTTAATTTTTAAGACTAAGAAATATCGAGTATTGTTTAAAAAATATAAACGAAACATACACCTGATGGATAACACGAGCATTAGTATAACACATACCTAGATTAATATAACATATGCGTATATAAAATTATTTAGTTATTATCATTAATGTTTATTTTTTATCTTATTAAAAATCTATGTTGTTGTAAGGGCATTATTAGAAAATGAGATTTCATTCTCACTTGTGTACTAGTGATACCAAACATGGGAATGGGAATGAGATTTCCATTCTAGCTTCATTCTACGAACGCACCCAAACAAGAGAATGAGAATGACCATTCCATTCTCACATGCAATCCATTCCATTCATTCTTCCATTCCATTCCCAAGTCTGTCCATTCCCACGTACCAAACGAGGCGTAAGGGTTTATAGGGACTGCTCTCTATAATTGAGTGGCTCACTCCACAGAAGTCTATAAATTACAAGATAAAATTGAGGTTTCAGGATATGCTTTTAGGTTCTCAGCAAGTAATCCAAAAGCCTCCATCTCTTCCAACGATAAAAAAGATCCTTTGATTTTTGTCTATATATGTCTCAATCTAATTTCTAAAACGTTATTTTCTTTATGTTTATATTCTCCCTCAGAATCCTTTCAATGACAAATTTTCAAAACCGACATGTTTTGAATTTTATTTTTAAAAAAAGACTCATTTCAAACTTAATTTCAAAAACCGACCTAGTTAGCCGAAACTGGGACAATTTTTGGAAAAAAAAAATAATGAAACTTCACGGGAGTTGAAGTCCCGTGAAGTTTTTTATATAACAAAACTTCACAGGACTTCAACTCCAGTGAAGTTTGGGAACTTTTTTTTCAAAAACCGACCAAGTTTCAGCCAACTGGGTAGGTTTTTGAAATTAAGTTTGAAATAGGTTTTTTTTGGGAATTTTTTTGCAAACAGGTTGGTTTTGAAAATTTACCCTTCTTCCAAATTCAGAATTCTTTTCTTTGCAACTTTCTTTGAAATTCTCGTTCTACTTGGACAAATAGGGACTGCTCCTGTTTCTTCCATAGTCGTCCTCATATTCTTCCACTTAATCTGCGTTCCAAAGAAATTAAAATATCTCCAAATTAATTATTTTCCCTCTTTAAACATCTCCAAATCAAGATATTCGAATCCTTCCCTTTAAACTCAGAATTCTTTCCTTCGCAACAAATAGTGCACGCTCCAAATTCTTCCGTCAAATTATCCACATATTCTTCCTCTTTTACCCCATGAATTTCAGCGTTTTGCAGTAAACCCCAAAAAAAATTCAAAATCGCAATAAACTTCAATAACTTTTGGAATTACGTAAAAATCCTCAATAAGTTTCCACTATTTTGCAGATAATCCCTACAGATGCAAACCAAAAAAGAAAAAAACAACATAAAAGTCATTTTGTGCTGGGATTTACTGTTATTTAATAATACAAACGATGTTGGGGGATTTCAGCAAAAAAATTATTAGGGCTTAGTATGATTTTGAAATTTGGAGTTTGGTGTAATTTACCCATAATTAAACTCATAAACTGCCTATTTGTTCATGAATCATGTCCCCATGCCCATCAAATCGAACCAAATCACGTGCTAACGTGGCGCGCAATTAATAACAGTAACTCCAGCGGCCAGCCCAACCCCGATGCTGTCGACAGCGACGAACGCTCTACCACGAGCGCTAGCTGCAGTCGACAAGCG